TGTGGCTTGCGTAGCTAAAATATTTTTGCGAAGCAGATATTTATTTTTCTATTATATAAAATATGCATGACCGAAATTTTCTGCATTGAAAGTATTAATTTTACTTGCTAGATAATTTATGCCAAAAGAAAACTCTTTCGTTAACCTGCGACCTTACAAAAAGGAAGATTTTCTTCCTATTCTGATAAACGAAAGTACAACAGATGAAGAATATGATGTAAGTCAGCCAACAACGTACTGTCGCGGGGAGTGTCATGTCTGTGTCTGTTTCGTCTGTTTAGAATTTGTTCAAGTTGATTAAATATGCAACTATGTTTGCCATGGATACTGAAAGCGTTCTCAGCAATCATCATCGTCGAAACAAGGAAGGCAATAAACAAAATTGGCCTGCAATTATTCAAATAGAAGTACGCTCACAATCAATGACAGATATCAGAACAAAAAAACGAACAGTTTTATTATTTCAAATATTCACGTCTTCTAAAAATGAAGACTATAAAATACCAGCTAAAATGGAAGGTTTATTAACGAAAATATTTGAATGTGATAAACAGAAATTGTTTACTGGTAATCCAGAAGAAGAAATGATATCTTTAAAAGTACACTATTCCAATGAATTATTCCAAAGTGGTGTTCTTCGAAATATTTATGATATAAGAAGATTGTATGATCATTATCAGTGGTATTTAGAAATAACAGACAATATTGGAACCTTACTAACATTAACATTGGGTGCAAGTCCAGTGCCAGGAGCTCTGATAGGACCTGTAACTGATGGTGGTGCGAGTGAGTCGTTCTATGAATCATTAAGCCGTAATCAAAACGCATGGAGTCTTCGACAAATGGTTGGAGATCTATTCCAGTTACATTTGAATAAATCATTAACATGTTCGAATTGGTCGCGTGATCGTTTAGATGCAAATCAAATTGAATACGCCTGTTATGATGTTTTATCATATTCGATATTTACGACAAATTAAATGATAATTTCTCGAATAATGATGGGTTATCCACGATTTACTTTACTCATCTACATTTCGAAAGATGCCATTTGTGTGATGCACATTATACAAATTTAAAGTCGTTTAATTACCATATAAGACATAATCACCAACGAGATGTTTTAAATTGTGTACAACAGCAACAACAATGCAGAGATAATGAAAATAATATCGATTATAGGTGCCAACCATCACACGTCAAAATTTCAAATTATTCATGGAAAGATAGTTTTGAAAGTGAAGTATGTTGCAAAGACGAAATATCTTTTAAGTAAAAGACACAATCATCATTAATGCTTTTTTTAGAAATTTATGAGAGAAGATAATCAAGATACACCGGTTGAAGAAATAGAAAAAAGAATATCAGAACGACGTTTTAGTACAGTAACAATAACACAACCTATCCACGAATTGAATATCAAACAATTATATAATAAATGGATTTTATCAAACGAATCATACAGTAACAATTCTGCACGTGCACATATATTAAGAAACTCCACCAGTATTTTGGTATTATATAGCATTCCAGATAAAAAAGAGATCAGAGATATCTATGATAAATACTGTTTAAACTGAATGACAGCGCCGGTCTATTGTGTTGTCGCGTCTACGTCAACAACAACAAACAATGTTAAAACTTACGATGGTCATAAACAAGACATGAAAAGTGAGTTATGTTGGTAATCCTGTTATTGCTTGAATTTGGTTTCGCATGTAGATGCTTTTTGGATAAATGTGGTTTAAGCGATACTTCTTTCTTCTCTTTTTCCAGATGATATATCCAATGAAGCAAGTAATAATAACAGTACAACAAAAGTCAACATCGATCTCGACAGGTAAATTGTCAGCGTTGTTGTAATATGAATATCTTCGTGTCAGAAGTTGTATCGGTCCCAGTAAGTTCAATATCAACCAAACCATAAGGGAAGGTTGTGCATGCTGAGAAAGGATCGATGTATTTTTTTGAAGGCTCTGTTTCATCTTTCGAGGAAAATGCAATTTTTCCTGGTTGCCCCTGGATGGGATTTTACTTACTTCCAAGAAATCGGCAACATTTGTTGTTTATTTTCTAGTTGTTTTCACAAGCAGCAACAATTCTGCAGTAATTCAATAACACGCAACAAAGAAAAAAAACAAAGATGGCTATTTATGTTATTCGATAATCCTTCATCTTTAAATACACTGATGAGCATGGTACCTCATGCAATGCTTGATGCATCGAAGGAACTAGTTCGATTAACAGCTCGACGATGGATCCCTTCGAAGCTATGCGAACCATCCGAGGATCCATTTTCGTTAAATATGCGTTGTTGGTGTGTCGTCATCCAATCAACAAAAGAAATTTACGACATTAGATGCTTAGAATCAATATTTAAAGATTATGGTCAAATACAATCCATTGTGTGTCATGACGATAATATCAAATCACAGTCATTTCGAATTACATTCATTCATTACGACTCAACCGATATGATAATTTTGAACAGAAAAGAAATCAAACAAAAAAATTATATTATAAATTCGATATTTAAATACTATACACATGAGCAATTACTTAAATATGAACGTGATTATACTGCAATACGTAAAATGTATGAATATTTCCAGTTATAGACTTAATACCATGTTCTTTGACTGGTTTTTTCGTTTTATTGTGTAAAGGTAAATAACCGGGAATAAATTACCAGTTTAGGTACGGTGTTACCAAAATTAGATGAAGTTTCAGTGCAAGGCAGACAACTTCTGCTAGCACGTAAGACTATATTCAGACCACAAAATAAGAAAGAATGAATAAAAATATTGGAGACAGCAGCCAAGCATAGTCTTTTCATCGTAATAACTTTTGGACTATTCTTTCAACGTACATAGTTGATTATTTTCTCTTCAACTTCGTCTCGAGATGAATTTTG